ATTTTTTCCCAAACTAAATAAAAACCAAAGCCAACTAAAAACTCAACTCAACCAAACCAAATTAGATTTGCTGCTTGTTAACAATTTTGCTATTCAATTTGCCCAGTTACACACTCACACACACACATGCAATGGCGGTAATTATTTGAGTTGAATGTAAAATTTTGTGGATTATTGCATTTGCGGAGTATTTAAAATAATTCTATGAATTTTATATACTCCGTTTAAGCCACAAAATTTAAATGGGTTTGCCTCTGCAGTTGGGGGCTTTCGAATATTTGTAGCATACTTTTGCGCGCTCATGCACACTAAACCAATGCCCCTCAACTAGTAAGCGGCACTCGCACGCTATGAAATCAACTCAACAACATGTTCAGCTCCGGCTAAGCCCCCATGGAAATTTACTCGGAGCCACATAACAACAAAAAAAAAAAAAAAAAAGAAAAGAAAAGAAAAGAGAAAAAAAAATTATAATAAGTAGTAGAGCGACGATGGCAACGATAAAAAGTGTTGAGCGCTGTCGTTCATATGCAATGGAAACAAAGCAACAAAACCGCAAACAGGCAAGCCCCCAACCCCACCCATCCGCTGCAGCAGCAGTGCAGCTGGCCAGCCAAGCAGCCAAACCAGCCACCATCAGCCACCATCAGCCACCATCAGCCACCATCAGCCACCATCAGCCACCAGCAGCTGTTGCCACCAAAGACAATGCCAGCGCATGCATCCCTTGCTGAAATGCAGCCAACGAAAATGCTTGGCATTAAGGGCATGCCAAGCGAGAGCTGGCCAACAGAACTGAGAAAAGTAGATGCGACGCATGTGCACAGTTATTGAATATGAAATACCCTGTAATTATAGAAATTATAATTTGGGTCCTCAAGCATGAATTACTTGAAATGTCGTTGGCTTCACTGTTATGAAATTGTATTTATTTAGGAAAAATTTCTATTCCAATAACTAATAATCAAGTTGCAATTTTTCAAAGATTTTCTAATAATAAATAATATTTATAAATTTGAAATTAAAATAATGTGCTTGACGAGAGTCTCGGCGTAAGAGAGAAAGTAGCTCTGATAGAGGGTTTATAGCAATGTGTTTATTGATACATAATTCGTTTTTATTTATTTAACGGGGTATATTTTGTTTTTTTTTTTTTTTTAATGTGAGTAGCAGACAGAAGGAGGCGGGGCAGACACCATAAATAGCTAAATCGAACAATCTCTGCCTGTCAGTCCACGTGTACGTATGTGTAAAAGCCTTGATTTGCTTCACTATTTCTAGAAAATTTCCACAATTGCTTTACACAAATTTTACAATGAAAAAATATATATATATTTAAAAAAAAAATTTTTTTTTTTAAATTTTATTTTATTTAAACAGGCTTTTTACTACCTAATGGGCAGCCTAACAAGTTGAACATAAAGACACAATTATTTAAAGTACAACACTACAGAAATTTCATAACAATAACAATATAAAAAAATTATAAAAAAATAAAATACATTTAATTGAAAACATATTGCATGTTTAATATAAATTTAATCTAAATATACACATATCAATATTTTTCTTGAACTGGAATATATCTTTTAAGTACCTTAAACATTCAGACTAAAAGCCATATACAATTTGAGAATATGAAAAACTTGCCGTCATCAAATTCAATTCGCCAGACTGATATAATAATAAAAGAGCACAGCAAATACATTTACAAGTCGAAAGGTTGCAGTGGATTGGATTGGATTGGATTGGATTGAAGGCAATGCGAGTGCCAGCCGAGCTGGCCTGGTTCAGTCACAGCAGTTGCAGTTGCAACTTTGGTTACGGTTTGTTGCTTTGCTGCACGGCAGTGTCGAATGCCGTTGGCTTATAAAATATTTAAATATTTTGTGGCAATGGCCGCAACATATTTGCACAGTGCCGCTCCAGAGTTGGCTAAGAAAGCTGCTTGGGCGCACTTCACTAAAGTTCAAGTGGCGACGCCTCGGCGTATGCTATTAATATTGTGCGACAGCTGTTGGACTGTTTAAATATTTATGCAATACGCAAAAAGTATGGCGACAACGCGGCTTATCAGCCCGGGGGCGCAGAGAGAGAGAGAGAGAGACAAAGAGCCAAGGATGATGGGCAAGCGTTGTCATTGTCATTGGTTCCGCAGTTGCCGCTTGATATGCTAATATGGTTATGGTTACGGCTGCCGCTGCCGCTGCCGCTGCTGATGCTGATGCTGCTTCTATTCTTTGCGGTTGTCCTTGTCGTTGGCTGAGAAAATTTCATTATGCCAATTACTTGCATCAAAGCTGCTGGGATAATTGACTTTGCTTAGCGGCTGGCAGTGTTAGAGTCAAGACCTTCGCAGACACCATTCTGCTCAGTTTAAAGCGCTTGCATAAGACGCCTTTGTACATTAGTTGTCCTCTGTATGTGTGTGTGTGCCTGTGTGTGTGGCCCCATTTGGAAGCATAAAATAATTAAACTTAATTGACAGTTTTTGGGCAACACCTTTAGTCCCAGCCTTGTGCATCCTTTAATCTAATGATCTCAACTTTGCCAGCAAGTGCCTGGTTAGCTTTTAGTAAACTTGGGCGATAATTTCAATTATATGTAACAACTTGCATTAGCTTCACTCTTAAAATAAACTATAGGCTATGCAGTATTTGAACATTTAGTTAGATATTTAAAAAAATTGGTTTAGATGGAATTATTTACATATTCTGTAAAGCAGTAAAAACAGTATAATAATCATTTAAATACCATAAAAATTTAAGTATACTAATATTATACTCTTTGGCTTCATAAAAAAATATGTATTAATTTTTCATATAAAATATATTTTCATTTTATTGGTAATTATTTAAATACGTTGTCCATATATAAAAATAAATATTTTTGCTATATACAAAAACAAAAAATCGATTAATTTTGTATTTTTAATTAAAATAAAGTTCGATGAAATCAAATTTTTCTATAAAAAAATTGGTTACAAAAATTTTAATTTGCTATATATAAAAAATTAAATGATAGCTACTACATTTGCAAAAAAAATTAATATAATAAAAATACTTTGTACAGTTAGCCTCTTTTATCCAACTAACCAAAGTAAGTATTTATGTAAATTTTTAATACGTTGAATCTGAATATATTATAAAATCTTCTAAGATTTTCGATTAACAAGTATTCCGGCTAATTTCAATCAAGCATTTCAAACTGCTTACAGATGTGCTCTACATTTGTGAACAGTTTGAAATTTTTTGATTTTAGTAGTGTTTCGTAGTGTAGTTTTTAATTTTTGCCCTAAATTTAATTATTTTTTTTTTTTTAATTTTGTGGCTTTATGCAAATTTTTGGTTATAAATTTGTTTGTGAAGTTTGATATCTTTCTCTTATCATTTATTTGATAATTGGAAAATATGAAAATCTATCCAAATGGTGATGCCTGGTTTTACGTGGACAAGCCAGGCTGCTGGGGGAAGTACGAGAGATATTCTCCACAGCACAGCTGGAAGCCTCTGATCCGGCCAATCAGGCCGAAGATCATGTACCATTGGCATGACTACGACGGCGTTAAAAAGGCGGAGATAAAGACCAAAGATCTCTACTTTGACAACTGGCAGACGTCTCGCATTCGGGCACAGGCCTGCCTGGGTATGCTCTATGCCACCGGCTACCGGTTCGTTAAGCTCAGCATGGCACCACCGGCTGGCTTCAAGTGTGCACCACTTCCGGTCAATCTGGTCGGTGCCTATCACGTCAACGGTAAGTGTTATGCGCTTTCAAACAAATTTATGTATTAAAACTAAAAATAAAAAAAAACCTATAGAGTATCTAAAGCAAATGAGAAGGGAAGCAAATGCGGCCAAGAAAGCCGCTAAATTGGCAGCCTTGGCCATTAAGAAGGCTGAGCTCGCTTTTAAGAACAGAGCCAAGAAGCGACCAAGACCTGGATAAACACGAAATAAAGTGAATGCAACTCAAGGAAAATACATGTTCACTATTCGCAGTGCTCTCTCAATTCTTTAGTGTCAATAAATAATCACCTTTGGATACAAATGCCTAATGCTGATTTTATTCTCTCATGCCTTTTCATTGGCTGAGTAAATATCATTATGCCAATTACTTGCATCAAAGCTGCTGGGATAATTTACTTTGCTTAGCGACACGACTTGCATTAGGCGATAAGCGTGTGTGTGAGTCTGTGTGTGTGTGTGTAGTTCCATTTAATTAAACTTAATTGACAGTTTTTGGGCAACACCTTTAGTCTCTGCCTTGTGCATGCTTTAATCTAATGATCCTAACTTTGCCAGCAAGTGTTTGGTTAGCTTTTAGTAAAGTTTGGCGATAGTTTAAACTACGTTTAACTATTTAGTATAAACTATGTTATGAAGTTTTTAATTTATCATTTAGATTATGAATCATTTAAATAATAGCAGTAAGATATATATATTAATAATTAATAACTAATTAAAGATTTAGGCATTGCTTGCAAAGAATAGTTGATAATTTTAGTCTTAGGGATCTGTTGGCGTCAATATTCGTCTGCTCTTACATTGAGCAATTGCCTTCGGTTATTTTTGTTTTCATTATCGGCTGAGCGCTTTGAGTTGAACTATTCGTGTCACGCTCTTCAGACGAACATCATTTAGGTAGAGAGACGATCGAGGTTCGTACAATGAGAGCGAATGAGTCAAAAAGCCAATGTGACTTCATCTTCACATTCACATACACATTCACACATTCAATTCCCATGCGCTGTCAATGCATACACAAGCCGTACATACCAATGCCTACATATTAGTGCTATATTAGTGCTTAAGGTAATTCCTATGTCACGCTCAATTAATTCCTATACATGTTATTTTCACAAAATAAATCTCACAGTTCATAGAGTTTGGACAAATATCTTAAATACCTCATAGTGTTTGCTTAATAAGAATAATAATTGCATTTAAGCACACATTTCCAACTCTTTACATACATTGAGTAAGCATTGATTTTACCTTTTGTTTATTTTGGTATTGTAAAATGTTTTCTACAAAATTGTTACTTTATTTTCCTTGGTGCTTCTATACAAATTTCTCTTTATAAATTTTTACGTATTTCCCTTCCATTTTCTCTCCTTTCTTTAAATTTGTTCTTTGATTTTTGGAAATTATGAGAATCTATCCAAATGCTGATATTTGGTTTTTCGTCGACAAGCCAGGCTGCTGGGGCAAGTACGAGAAGTATGCCCCGCACCACAGCTGGAAATTGCCGGTGCGGCCATTCACGCCGAAGGTCATGTACCATTGGCGTGATCTCGATGGTGTCAAGAAGCCGGAGATAAAGCGAAAGGATCTCTATTTCGATAACTGGCCGAAGACTCGAATTCGTGCACAGGCCTGCCTGGGCATGCTCTATGCCACTGGCTATCGGTTCATTAGGATCTGCAAGGCACCACCGGCTGGCTTCAAGTGTGCACCACTTCCGGTCAATCTGGTTGGCGCTTATCAAGTCAACGGTAACTCCTTTGCGCTATCAAATATGTCTTCTATTATATACTAATCCTAAACACTACAGCACATTTGAAACAACTAAGTAAAGAAGCGAAGGCCGCAAAGAAAGCCGCTAAAAAGGCAGCAAAGGAAGCTAAGAAAGCAGCCGAGGCATTTAAAAATAGAGGCAAAAAGCGAGGAAGATCATAAACAAGAATTAAATTGTATGCAAACTGAAGAAAATTCTAGCAAATTATCTCTCAGGTATTGTTGCACAATAGACATTCTGATGCAGCTTTGGATAAAAATTGTCAATGTTTTTTGGTTAAGTAAGAATTGAGAAAAAATTAATATTTTTATTTATTTATTTACTCTTTAATTATTTAAGATTATTTCTTCTAGATTTGACATCTGACTGACTGAGTATGATTCAATTGTAGCCAGAATGGTGTTGTTGAAGAGTATATGGCAGGTAAAAGAAGTACACATAGTATATATAACAGGCAATAGAAGAATAGCAACAGCCGAGTTGATTTCGTACTGCAAAAGTTTGTATTTATTTTATTTTTAATATTACCTAACACAAATACCTTACTTCACCCCTTCTTGCAGCTGGTTTCCAGCAGATAATCTGAAAGCAATCTATTTATTATGGCAAGAGAAAAGTCAGAGAAGAAGAAGAAAATGTGATTAAATTTTGTGTTATATTGAGGCATAAAAGATGATAAGAGTTGTGTAAGGAAGTATCCGTATCGGTCGAAATTGTCTGGAATGGTCTAGCAGGCAGAGAAAAATTAAATTGATAATTAAGATGCAGTCGATATTATCGATATTTAAATTATGTAGAAAGCCTATGAACGGATCGATCTTGCACCTAATAACTGCTAGCGAAATGAACGTTTTTAGCCTAAGTCCCTATATAGTTAAAGTTTGTTCAAATAATCTATTAAAATGTATCAAATAAAAAACAGTTGTTTATATAAATATCAAGCACTGATTAAATTTGAGACAACCAGCAATATTAAGAATGAAATTAAATAAAAAAAATATATGTCATCAAACTTAGTCTTATCCATACATATTAAATTTTAATAAACAAAAAATATAAACTACAAAATTAAATAAACAAAATTAAACTATGCACACGGAAAAACTTTAAAATAAAATATTTTAAGTAAATATTGAATACAAGTTTAATTATTAACACACAAAAGTGCGGAAAAAAATTTAATAAAATTATCTTAAGCTATTTACTTAGTTAACTTTTACCTTTAGTCAACTGTTAGCTTACAAAAAAAATATATATGTAAAAATTAAATTAAAATGTAAAAATCATTTTAAAAACAAAAACAACGTGACAAATATTAAATAAAAAAGTGGAATCATAATTTAAATAGCATTAATTTACGTATAATTATCGCCATACAAAAGTCATATTTGGTGCAATTCATTAGACTAGAACCGGGAGAAGAAAGAATGAATACTATGAATGAATTAATACTACGTGTGAATGAATGAATACTTTGGTATGTGTGCATGTATATGTATGTACGTACGTTACATTTATCAATGTAATTTTATCGGCCGCATAATTAGCGTAGCCAAGCGCACTGATTAACTTGCATTCAACGATTTTCAATTGAATTTTGCAGTTCGTTGATTCGAACCAAAAAAATAAAAAAGGAAGAATATACATACATATATACATACATATGTATATACATTAAAAATAAAGTGAAACACACGAGACTGTGATGCAAATGCAATCATCCTAGCATCCAATGTGGGTGTGGTCTGCACTGTGGGATAGGTTAATAAAAATACAAAGCAGTACAAGAAAAAAAAAAAAAAAAAAAAAAAAAAAAAACGAAAACGAAATGCAAAATATGCAGACAGGCGAATGATGAATGTGAATGTGAAATGTGCCATTAATTAATTCGATTAAATGCAGCAATGCAGGCAATCAGCCAAAAAGGCAGCGTGAAGCAATAAAGCACAACAGGAGTACACGGGACACACACACTCACACTCACACACACATACACATACACAGAGTCAGTTAAGAGTCAGTCAATCAACGCAGCAGCCACAAATGACTGGAGAGGCTGTTGCATCATCAATGGACTGCGCACCGAAGGGCTTGGCAGGGAGGGCACTCATTAAGCATTAAGACTGTAGCTCGGAACGATGTTCGTTACAGTTATTAATGGCGCGCATAAGCTTTAATACTACAGCATCTTAATTTTATAAGATGCTGACGAATTTTTGCACATTACACTAAAATTTAAAGGATAAATGTATTTATTTATTTATCTACTTTTTAAGCAAGCGATTATTCTCTTTAATTTACATTAAATAACAAAAAAAAAAAAAAAAAAACAAATGTAGATATATTTTATATTATAATTTTATTTTATATAATTTTTACATTTAATAAAACATTTTTTAAGAGGTAATTGTTTTATTTTTCAAATGACATTTTTATATATTTTATATTTTAAAAAGAATTTTTAAAATATTGCTATTGTTTCTTTTATTTATTTACATTAAAATATACCTAAATACCTGCGTAAGCATATTTAATATTAAAAGAGAATTTTTGTTGTTTATTATTTAAAGAAATTTTTTACTCCATTACATAAAAATATATTTAAAAATAAGTGACAGCAATATTAATATATTTTCAAAATTGTTTTTAAAAAGTTCTCTTAAAATAAAAAAATGATCTTTTTAAAATACACAATACATAAAAAATTAATAATTATTAATAATTAATTTGTTTGTAAGGAAAAAAAAAATTAAATTGTTTCGACTTTATTGTCTTTTCTATTTTTAAAAGCATTTTTTATGATATGCATTGGAGTATTCAGAGAGCATGTAATAGGGAAAATTGATGGAAACGTATTTCAAGCTTTGCCTTTCTGGTCAAAACTAAGTAACCAAAAATACGCACAAAATATGTAAAATATGTACAAACTTTATTCTATTATTATGTATGTGTCAGGGCAGGTTTAGTCCGGGAATACATTATTTCAAAACACAGTATTATATTACATATTTTTAGCTAAGTTTGCAAATTTCGAATATATTTAATTAAAGTAAAATTACAATTGCCCCCAAGCAAGATGGATAAGAAGGAGAAGGAGGTAAAACTCTCCGCGGATGAGCGTCAGTTCTTTGTTGCAACTCGCATGAGTTTGCCGCTGTTTATGCTCTCGCGTATGTATATGAAATAAAATATATAATATATAATATTTCTTTAGGGCTAACATTCGATTTTAGGTAATCGTCTGCGTGAGGATAATTTGGAAAGTGTACAAAAACAGTTTAAGCTAGCAGGTGGACATTACAATGCGTATTGTCAGCAAGGTAAATATAACTAAATGCTTTATATATAAATTACATTCATTATTAATTATATTATATATGTTGACTTACAGAAAATCGTAGAGAGGAATTTAGTGCCGCCACGTATAATCATTATAGACATGTGACAGGCTTTGAGAAGACGCCGGCCACTCCATATCCTCCCAAGCGTCCGTTGCGCTCCAATCGGGAGATGACCACTTGGCGGGGCTATCAGCATGCGCCGAATCGATATGGCGTGCTGCCCGAGCCATATAAGAGTAGGATGGGCTCCAAGGGCTCCGTTTTCGCTAAAATGCACGTGAACAAAAGCCGAGTGAGCATCAAGCCGCCGCCGCCCAAGTTCTACGAGGTGCCATCGGAAATCGAGCGCTTCTTCAGACCGGAGAACAAGCAAAAGGGCATATTCCTAACAAGTAAGAGAAATATATATAATATATACCATTTCTTCTTCTTTGTAACTCTGCCTGCCAGACGCTCGTGAGCGTCGTCCCTCGTCACGTCTCATGGTATCCGATGCGACCATGTGCTGGCGCAATCCGAGCGACCCGGGTCCCTGTGAAACTTATTACAATCGCTTTGAGATTCAGTCGATCGTGTCGCCCAAGATCATAGAGAAGCCCGACAATCCTCACTTGTTTCTGCGCCACTCCTGTGTGCCAACTAAGCGTAGCCGAATTCTGCGACCCCACATTAGCTTCGAGCCGTGCCCCGGACGCTATGACATACGCTATCCGAACGTGTGCGCCTGTGAGCGGGGCAAGAAGACGGTGCCCCGGCTGACCATTCACATTGAGACACAGAAGCGGTACAAGTTCCGACGCTTGCCCTACGTCAAGATCAGAATGCGCAAATATTGTGAGCCCGACTGGCGTCATGTGATCGGCAAAGGGCATAGGCGCCTCTTCAAGATGGGCAAACACGACTTGCCCAAGCCGCAGATGAAGAAGGTGGAAAAGAAGGGCGGCAAGAAGGTCGAGAAGCAGCTGAAGATGTTCGCTGATGCCAAGTACTTGAATATGCTGGTCAATCCAAGGCATCTGCCGATATCAACACGCGACTTTCCTGCACCGCCCTATGTGCCCCGCATCGTCTACAATTGCATTGCCAAGCGGGTGATACGCAAGCAGCTGCGTAATAATAAGAAAATCGCCTTCATGAGCGGCCAGGAGCGCTGGAAGGACGGCGTACGTGTGCTACAGATGACCCAGCGCCAGCTGGAGGAGATCAAGGCGCGCCTGCCCGAAGATCGCCGCCTCGAGGATCGTCCGATCAATCTGCGCGCCTCGAAGATGCTCAGCCGCCTGTTCATCGTGCCCGACCGCATGCGCACAACCTATGTGCCCATGCTGCGGAAGCGACTCTTCAAATTCCTGCCCATACCGGGTGCTCGGGTGCTGGTCACCGATAGCGATATACGCCCGGACTTGCCCTTCGATCGCGACAATCCGACGGGCATGTACAATGTGAAAATAGACGAGACGAAATTCTTTCGTGATTCGGTGCTGCTGGAGATGGAGCAGCAACGCTTGGGCATTAAGGTACAGGTCGAGGAGAAGTCCTTGGAGCAGTCCATGAGCGGTGTCAGCATGACGGCTTCAATGGCCTCGGGCTCGCAATCGGAACAAAATACAGCTAGATTAACCAATTATATGGAAGCCAAGCCGGATGAGTAATAAGGTGTGTGTGTGTGTGCTCTCGGTGCTCTCTACAGTGTTTGAGATCGCGCATGAGCATCACGTTTACATAGTTCTATGATTTATGTGCCATGCTCCAGTAAATTTTAAAGCCAGCAAAACTGTCTGTGCTGCACACTTGCGACTCCTGGCGCTCGCTGCCATAAAGCAGCAAAACGTAACTTTTGACCATAAAATAAATAACTTTTCAGTTGTCCGTCGCCCAAGCTTGGTTTCCGTCTCTCTCCTCTCTCTCTCTCTCTCTCTCTCTCTCTCTCTCTCTATGTGTGTGGCTAAAAACCAGCAGAAAAGCCAGCACGAAATAATTAAGTTTTCCAACGTTTTGCGGAATCTGTGCCGGGTCCGGGATTCCGTAGCCAGACTACGGCTACGGTCTACGTGTGGCCCGCTACATGGGGCCATTAAAATTACGAGCATATCTCATATCTACTTGCTTAGATTGTAAAACATAATCTGTTATCAATTATTTTAGCTGCGTGCCTTTTTGGCCAGGGCGTGGTGGGCGTGGCCGGCGTGGCCAGAATGGACCTTTCGCCCTTCGGCAGCCGTCGGGCAGTCGGGGTAAACTTGCAAAAGCGCTCACGTTGCATTTGCCAAAGCAAAAAGAAAACTTTTCACACACTATTTATGACTTAGTTAAAATTTTGGCATGTAAGCAATTTCATTTGCTGCGCCTTAGCATCTGGCTCATAAAAATGCCCATCCTAATCGATTCTCGACTCGACTCTTTACTCGTTGCGTGCATGTGAATGAATGAGTAAGTGTGAGTGTGAGTGTGAGCGTGAGTCAATGAACAACTAAAGCGAGTGCAGAAGTTAATTGAGTTTTGTGAGCCAAAGGCATTGATAGACAGCAGCAAAGTCAGCAGAAAGTAACTAAATAAAACTAAAGTTCAAGAGAATGAATCAGGACTCAGATTTG